TTCCAAAGCTCTCTTAGTCTGTGTGCATTTGGATCATAATAGTGACCATGCATTATATCTGTATTGACATAGTAAGGAAACATAAAAATCTACTTAATAGCTGACCTAAATGCTCCTGTACCTGGCTCCATCTGGGTATTTTGGATGCTTTTGAATACGACAGTACTTTTTTTTTTTTTTGCACAAACTTTTCTATATTCAACATGATGTCTCCAAGGATTTCATGCCCTATGCTTTAAGTGCAATATAAATTGGAGAAATCAGCCAAAGTCACACTAAGAATGCCATGAGTTTCTAGTTTCCTCTGTTTTCGATTTTCATTTCCCCATTATTTGCTTCTAAATGCATCCATTTTAGGGGGGAATGTCGGAAAACTTTAAAATATGACAGATATTGATGTCAGACTCTTTGAAATACTTAACTCTAGATCTCTTAAATGTCACCATCTAGGCTGGTCTTGAGTATCACTTCCTCTTCCTAAATCCGAGTTTTCCTTTTGGGAAAACAGGAGGGCTGAACTTCTGGGCTTCTTCTGAGCCTTTTGCTCCATGACTACACGATCACTCCATCGTGCCAAGATCGTGCAAAACTTTTTGTGTGGTAGACTTGAGAGCTGTGTTTTAAATTTTCAACACATATTCACATCTCTTATCTTGGTTCTTCTTTTGAGGCCTCTGTGTCGCCGACTTTCCCCAACCCCCTGACTTTGCTGGGTCAAGTCTTAGCCCTCTTCACCTATCACTCCTTTTTCTTTCTTTTTTTTTTTTTTGGACAGACAGAGTTAGAGAGAGAGAGACAGAGAGAAAGGTATTGAGCCCTGGCGCCGGCCTCACCTATCACTCATACCTCTTTGCTGCCACTTCTTTCTACCTGGGTCTCTGCTTCCACTTTTGCTCCTCTGCATTCTAGTCTTTGCACAGAACCATCATGATTGTTTTTAAAATTTGAGAAGCAGAGAGAAAAACAGACAAAGAGGAAGACAGATGGACAGAGAGCCCTCCTATCCACTGGTTTGCTCCTCAAATGCCCAGGAGCTGGAAACTCACTGCAGGTCTCCCACATAAATAGCAGGTACCCAATTTCTTAAGCCATCCCTTGCTGCCTGTCAGAGTGTATGTTAGCAGGAAGCTGGATTTGGGAGAAGACTGGACTTGAACCTGGGAACTCCAATCTATGATCTTTTGAAAGCTAAAGCAGAAATGTCTATTTCCTACCTTAAAGCCTCCAATCACTTCCCTTTGCCCGTGGAAATTCAACTCTATCCCTGCATCAGGGCCTTTGCATTTGCTATTTAGTCTATTAAGAAAGCTGTCTCCCATAGATCTTTGTGCAACTGCCCTTTTCATTTCTTAATGAAATTTCTCTGCTTTAGGAAGGCCTTCCCTAAGTACTTCATCTAAACTAGCATCTGACATATCACATTACATGGTTTTATTATCTATGGAACAGGTTCCATCTGAACTTACCTTTATTGGTTTTTGATGTTGTTGTTCATCTAATCCTGGTAACATGGGATCAGAATTTTGTTGTCTTGTTCACTGCATACCGTTAGCATCTGGAACAGGCTCTGGCATGCAATTGATGCTCAAGAAGTGTTTGTAGCATAGGTGGATGAATGAATGCATGGATGTCCTAAAAGGAAAACCAAAACCCAGAGAAGTCTTAGTCACATAGGTAATTATGAGCAAGGTCCAGACTATAACCGAAGCTACCTCATTCATTTTTTTCTCCTCTGAGTCATGCTGTCTCATTCACAAACCTAACTTAGAGACCATTCATTCATTCATTCACCATTTGTTTTTTAATTATTGAGCTGTATACTGTCTCAGACACTTGTCTAGTTCAGTTGTTCTCACCAGAGGTGATATTGTCCCACTGGAAACATTCGACAATGTCTGGAGACTTCTTCGGTTGTTACAGCTGGGATGGAGGATGCTACAGACTCCTACTGGGCAGAGGGCAGCGTTGCTGCTCAACACCCTTCAAGGCACAGAACAACCTCCCCCAACAAAGAATTGTGCGGCCCAAAATGTCAGCAGTGCTGAGGGTGCTGTTCTCAGTGTACAGACAGAGGTGCTGATCTCATGGAGTTTATATTCCAGTGGAGGGTACAGATGATAAGCAGTACATTACTACGTACATTCAGACTGTGTCAAAGGTGGTGTGATGGAAAAGAAAGAAAAATTGGGACAGATTAAGGGGGTTTGCTGCTGGGTTCTGTGCCTGGAGACAGGAGAAGGAAGAGCTGAGACGTCAATCTCTTCAGGAGAGGAACCCAGAAAGGAAATGCTGCTTTTGCAGGTTAAGCTCTGTGACCTAGAAATGACTAGTTCTTTGATGTTGGCCAGGTGCAGGCCATCGGATGATGGACGTTAACAAAAATACAAACCTAACCCTAAACCAAAGGCCAGCTTAACCTCCAAGTAAAAATAGAGCAAACTGCCATGGGCTAGAAATAATTATTTTCTGTCCCTTTTCAGGAGTGTTTAAATCTTTTCTCCACACCTCAGTGCTCTATTATCACTAATGCAGGACAGTGTTAATTCAATGCCATTTTTTACTGTTCATGGTCAGCTTCTCACTTTTCTCTCAGAGCAAAAATAGAGTGATTTCAGCCCCTCTCAACAGTATTGTGAGTTTTTTTGATCATGCAGATTTCTCTGTCTAGGTTGATTTCTTAAACCCAACAGGGGCAATTGTGGATTTTAATATCCTGGGGAAGCTATGGTAGTTGATGTTGATAAAACTCAGGCTAATGATATGGTTGTTTATATAACACATACACAACATACACATCTATGAGAAGCTTCAAAACGTTTATGCAAAATGTAATTTAAAGATAAGTTGGAGGTGGGCATTTGACCTAGCAGTTAAGACGCCTGAGTCTCATACTGAAGTGATTGGGTTTGAGTCCCAGCTCCAGCCTCTGAGCATAGCTACTGCAGACAGTGGTGATGGCTTAAGTAGGTAGATTCCTTTCAGTCATGTGGGAGACCTGGACTGAGTTCCTGGTCTTCAGCTTCAGCTGCCCCATCCCCCACCCCAGCCCTTGCAAGAATTTAAGGAGTGAATCAGTGGATGGAAGCTCTCTCATTTATCTCTTTCTATGTGTGTGTGTCTGTCTCTGCCTCTCAAATATATTTTTTAAATTCTAAAAATGTTAATTTTTGTACAAAAATTTTGAAATCCATGCATAGTGTTTTTATAATATACATTTTCTATGAACTTTTTCTTTCTTTTTCTTTTTTTTTTTTTTTTTTTTTGACAGGCAGAGTGGACAGTGAGAGAGAGAGACAGAAAAGTCTTCCTTTTTGCCATTGGTTCACCCTCCAATGGCTGCCACAGCTGGCGCACTGCAGCCAGCGCACCGCACTGATCCGATGGCAGGAGCCAGGTACTTCTCCTGGTCTCCCATGGGGTGCAGGGCCAAGCACTTGGGCCATCCTCCACTGCACTCCCTGGCCACAGCAGAGAGCTGGCCTGGAAGAGGGGCAACCGGGAAGGAATCCGGCGCCCCGACCAGGACTAGAACCCGGTGTGCCAGTGCCACAAGGCGGAGGATTAGCCTATTGAGCCGCAGCACTGGCCACATTTTCTATGAACTTTTAAAGACTCTTCCTATGCAAAGATTTCAAACTTTTGCATCAGAATAAGCTTATCTTTTAATTCTGTTTTCCATGGCTTAAAAAAATTATTTGAAGGGCAGAGTGCCAGAGAGAAGGGGAGGGATAAATAGAGAAAAATCTTCCATCCACTTATTTACTCATCAAATGCCCACAACCAGCAGGGTGAGGCCAGGAGTCAGGAACTCCATCCAGGTCTCCCACATGGGTGGTAGGAATCAAAGTATCTGGGCCATCTGCTGCTGTCTGCCGGAGGCACTAACAGGGAGCTGGATCTGAAGTGCAGAGAAGCCAGGACATAAATTGGTATTCCAGTATGGGATGTGGACATTTCAAGCAGTGACCTAATTTGCTACACCGTAATGCCCAACCCTTCATGGACTTTCGGAAGTACTCTCATGTAAACTCACACATGCGTGTACATATACATATGTAGATATAAAGTTAAGATTTTGCTAGAAAATCCTTAAATTATGGTTTTAATAGTTTGTTTAGGTATTTACTTGTTTTTGTGGTCTCCTTTCTTTTTTTTTTTAAGATTTATTTATTTTATTTGAAAGGCAGAGTTACACAGAGAGAGAAGGAGAGGCAGAGAGAGAGAGAGGTCTTCCTTCTGCTGGTTCACTCCCCAGTTGGCTGCAACAACCTGAGCTGCGCCAATCCAAAGCCAGGAGCCTAGAGCCTCTTCCGGGTCTCCCACACGGGTGCAGGGGCCCAAGGACTTGGGCCATTTTCTACTGTTTTCCTAGGCCACAGCAGAGAGCTGGATCGGAAGTGGAGCATCTGGGTCTTGAACCAGTGCCCATATGGGATGCCAGCACTGTAGGTGGTGGTTTTACCCGCTACACCACAGTGCTGGCCCCTCCTTTCTTTTTCATAATTTTTTTTTTTTCACAAGCATTGATACCTAGTACATAGTCAATCAAAGTTTGCTGACTGAATAAACAAAAATAAGTTTGAGATTGCTGGATTCTAAGGTTTTTTTTCACATTTACATGAACTTACATCATTGAACTATAATTTAGTAAATATGGTAGCATGTTCTTATGACTTACTAGTGGTATAATCATGTATTTATAAATACGTATTTTTTATTTTTAAAGTTATTGTAGGGATCATGATCTGATCCCTAGGGTTTCTGAATTCAAGGAGCACAAGACTCTTAGATGCTAATACTTTTTAAATATACTTCAAACCTAGGAGAGAAGTATTAATCAGGAGAACAGGTTTCAACAAATGTTCTTTATTTCTGAAGTATTTAAATTGATCATGTTGAAGAAATTATGCACAATGCACTGTTTATTTTGGGTACTATTTTATTCTATCAAAGATCTTGTTAACTAGTCCATTGAATGTGTGTCTTTTTTTTTTTTTTAGTGCTATTTCTTTACAATCGAGTTTGGTCTTTGCAAGCAAGAAGGACAGCTGCGAGCATATGGAGCAGGACTACTTTCCTCCATTGGAGAGTTAAAGGTATGAAACTGTGAATGAAAACATCCTTCCCAAGCAAACTTGTTCAAGGTCATGGAAAATATCGATTGGTTTGAGCATTTCTACTCACAGATACCCCATAAATATTTAACAGAGTTTGGCACCTCAGTTATGGGTTCTGACCTAACTCTTAGCACCTCTGAAAATGGGTCATGCCTTTCTGAGTTTGTAGTGTGACTCAAATGGATGAGTGGCCATGTGCACAGATCAACAGGAATGAGAAATGTATGCCCAAGTGTTGGGTAACAAATAGATTTCTTCAGTATAGTGCTAGAAAGTGTGTATTTAGCTAGGAGGGATCCTACCCATTGAAATTTACTTGTGAGGGTGGTTTGGCTCCTCCAGTTTCTGTTATCTCCATGGCTTTCATAGAGTCCCCAGAATCTACATGCTGAGAGGGTTTTGAGATTATTTTAGTTTCTTCAAAACTAATGTGCATAAAAATATTTGTGGACATATGCAGTTTGAAAAAACCAAGCTAAGTACATTGTCAGAGAGCTATTCAATACATGTACTGATGCTTAGATAATGCTATTTTTACCATAAAATATTATTTAATGATCATTTATTAAAGTTAAGAGCTGGGGAATTCTGATAATTTTAATATTCTGGTTGTTTAAGAATTGCTGTTTATACCAGTGGTACATAGCAAGTTTTTATGATGTTAGAATGCAATGTGATATATAATGTGATACACAATATACAATGTGACATACAGTCCAATGTGAAAGTGGTACTGCAAATAACTTAATTTTTCTTTGGTTGTTTAGACTAAGTTCAGGATTATTGACTATCCTAGAGTTTTTATTTTGAGCATTGATTTAGAATACACTTGAAAAATACATAATATACTTAAGAAATATACGGTTATTAGAACCTTTTGGTTCTTTGTATTATTGAAATATGTAATCTAATTGTAATTTTGTTGGAGCCTCTCATTTTACTGAGTCCTCTCATTCCATTCATTATTCATTCCCTAAAAATTTGGTTGAATGTTTACTATTTCCCACATACTGAGGATAAAAACACAGATAATTACAGTGACGAAGAAAGTAACTTAACAAAGACTTAAATAGGCTTTAGTATTTTGGGTGCTTTGTACATATTAACTTACTATTATCTCAACAGCTCAGTAAGGAATGTGATGTTATTATCATGGATAAGGCATAAAGACATTGTGGAACTTCCCTAGTATCACACAACTAGCAAGCGTTGGACTTGGGCAGTCTAGGCTTTACAATTTGAGGCTCAGCCAGTAGGCAATGATGTCTGGGATCCCTACTATCTTGCTAGTGCAAGAGATAAACAATCAGATAATATAAAAAGTGTGACAAATGTGTCTGGCACACACCAGAACGTGCCTGAGAAGGCTTCCTGATGAGGGACCTCCTGTCCAAATTGATTATTGAGGGATGGGAAGAGTGAATAAGAAAAGGATGGGACACACAAATCAGTCATCCTAGTAGTATGTGTACCACCTGGATTCTAGCCAAAGCCTGGCCCATTGAGGGAACTACCTAGACTCAGCATTGCTAGAATAGAGGATAATGTTCAACATAACAAAACCTTGATGTAATGAGTTAGTTTTTGCTAAGTTCTTAGCCAAAAAATCATTTGGGGGGCTAAGTCTACAGCAGTAGCATGTTGTCTATTTACATTCTTCTCAGATAGTTTATAAATCACACAAGAGACAAAAAAACACAAATTTTTCTCATGGCCTGAACTTTCGACAGGGTCTTCTGCTCTGGTTAATGAGCCATGGGTAGGCAACATTCGGGTGAATCTGTTGGTTTGTTCCTATTGGTGCAGACAGAATCGTCTGGAAAAGGAAATCAGCCAGAAATATGTACACCAAAGGGCATTGTCCGCCATGCATCTTCTTGTTCTGGTCCATCACCTCCAGCCATTAGCATTCTTCCATTCTCAGGTTTCAACACTCCAACATCCCTAAAATTGCTACTTTGGACCATTTTTACACTTCGGAAATTCTTTCTATAGGAAATAGCCTCTGATTGTTCACAGAGAATACATAACTGAGATTCTTTCTTTAGTACCCTCACCTGCCCTGCTTCCTGCCTGACTCCTGTAAGACCCTCAAACCCTCTCACAGCTCTTCTGAATACTTCTGTCTGACTTAGTTGAATGAATAAAAGGTGGTCCTGGACCCATTTAGGGATTGCATTGTTAATAGCATTATTATTAACCCCTGTGTCAACATACTTACAGATTTGAATGCAGTTACTTTTTGCTGTAAAATATTTCCTGCAGTGCAACTGCAACCCAAAGGGAGGTCCCAGCTATATTGTTGGAAATTTTACTATTTTTTGTGATAGTAACTCACCTCCTCCTTTTGAAGATGACATATTCTAATATTGGTATTGTAGGAGGCTAAATTTTCCTGAGGCATGCATGTTCCTCTTCAGAGTTGACCAAGTACTTCCAAGGGATAGTTCTCTTGTGTGGGTGATAACTTTAAGTTTCCTCTCTTTCTTTTTTGACAATGCTTATTTTTATGTTTGAAGATAGAAACAAATATATGGACAAGCTTACAAAAGCTAACAAATCTGATCATCATAAAGACTATTTCTTTTTTTCCCTCAATCAAAGAGTTCTCTCTCTCTCTCTCTCTCTCTCTCTCTCTCTTTAATAATCTATTCTGTAGGGATCTTCAGGAATTCTAAAAGTGAGTTTTAGGGAGCTTTTCTGTTTGTCCCATAAGTTTGGAGAGTAGTTAATAATGAGCTAAGTCACCTTTAAAAACAGGCTGGTGGGGTTGCTATTTAACTCTGGTTATGACACCAGTTGGGACTTCTGTGGCACACATCAGAGTTCAATATTAGGCTGCAGCTCCTGAGTCCAGCTCCTGCTAATGCAGATCTGGGGAGGCAGAACTGATGGCTCAAGTAATGGGTTCCTGCCACACATTTGGGAAACTTGGATTAAGATCCTGGCTCATGGAATCTACTCAGCCAGGCTCTGACCATTGCAGGCATTTGAAAGTGAACTGGCAGATTAGATAGTCTCTCTCTCTCTCTGGCATACACACAGTATAAAAGGTTTAAAATTGGATACCTGATTGCTGCTTACCCACAATCTAGTATGTATCTTTCCTTTCACATTCTTTTTTTTTTAATCTATCCTAGAGTTGATCTAACTATATACCTATAGTTTTTTTTTTCATTTATTATTTGTTTACTTGTTCACTTACTATCCAACAAACACAAAATTGATTGGCCAAGATTTTGAAAAATTTTGTATTTATGTAATGGAAATAAATTTCATGTATTTCATATATACAGTTTTAAGAGCATCATGACACTTTCCACCCTACCCTCCCTTCCTTGATCTCACCCTCCTCCCTTCCTTATTTTTCTTGTAATTTTACAATGACATATATTCAATTTACTTTATAATCACAAGCTTAACAATCTACTAAAGAATTCAACAAGTAGTAAGTAGAAAAAAACCATTGCTCCTCAAGAGTATAGACAAGGACTATAAACAATACTCAAATCTCAAAATGTCAATTTTACTCGTAGGTGTTTATATTTTTTTGTACTCTGTGTATTAGTTAGTGGTCCAAGATTTTAAGGACCATGAAGTCCAGTAGGGAAATTCTAAGAAGGTGATGGAGATGGATCTTTTTGAACCCATCTCTCATGGAGAAGCAAGGATGAAGTTTCTTCACATTAGATGGCAAGGAAATGATTGTTAATCACTGAATTGGATGAGTCTTAAAATGCTAATCCATCTAAAAACAAAAGGCAGTCTATATTTATTTTTCATGAGTAAAGATAAGATGTAGGTCTTTATTTCTTTAAGATCAGACATTAGATTTAAAAAAATTTAAATGACCATAGCACCTGTTCTCTGGTAATTGCTGGAATTTAACTATAAATGCAAGAATACATCAGAAAGTTTGTGGAAAATGGAATTAAAAGATAAATTTATTTTAATGCAAAAATGTTCATGCCCATGCATCATTTTTTCATAATATGCATTTTCCATGAACATTTTGAAGACTTCTAATATATATGATTTCAAAAAATATTTTGCACCAAAACAAACATCTTTAATTACAGTGAAGTACTTTTGTACATTTATTTTGCTTTTCAGGTTTGGACAAAGCTTATGGTTTAAAAAATTTTAATTATCATTTTTGGTCTTTAGTTTTAGAATGCCCTTGCATGATGAATTTATTGCATTGCCTTTTATATAGCTATTAATAAGCAATCTCAGAACAACTTGATACTTTTTTGGAGTCATTTGTCTTTCCTGCCACTTGCAGCAACTCTTGGGAGTGGCCCAAAGTACTTCTAGGTTGTAAAGAAGAGGGCCTGCATGCTCTCTGGCCTTAGCTGGTACATCACTAGCGCAGTTTGAGGTCCTGCACCTTAACCTTGACCAGAGGCCCTTCTTGCCTTCCCCACTTCCCACCCTCTCGCCCCAGTCCCTGCCACCTTCTTTACATGGAAACAGCACTCTTAGTAGTACCAGAGCCAAAGCTGGTGAATTGGAAGCTGGATGCTGGTTTTTACCTTTACAAAGAGATAGTTTGAGCAGGGAGGTTGTTTCTTCACTTCTCTGCTTATTCATTAAAACTTTAGCATTGCTGATTTTAAAACAGTGTGATACATCATTGCTCAATTTGGCAATAGGGCTATGGAAGCCACATTGTGCTTAGCAGGATAAGCATTGGAGGTTCAAAAACTAATTCAGAGACACAGAGATAATGCATGTGTATATATACAGAGCTATATATTGGTCATTATTCAGCATTATTCAGACATGGGAAGACATGATTGTGGTGTGAATGTGGGAGTGTCTGCCAATTCTTATTTAGCATCTAGGGCCCAAAGTACTCAGAAACCTGACTTCACACTTGAGGGTTTTTTTTTTTTTTTTTTTTCCAACTTCAACCAGTCCTAATATAGAGAGTGAAGATCACAGGGTTTACATCAAGAATAGTTGAGATAACTATGTCATTGCAAAGAGAGGTGTCTGGAAGGGAGGAAAATTTTAAACTCATTAACCTAAGGCAGTCACCACCATTGCACCACTACTGTAGTCCAAGAGCTGGAAGCCTCATATCCATGACTCCTTTTGTCTGGGTTCCAGGCTCCTGAGGGAGAGGGACTGGACAATAGGGGGAAGATACGGCCAAATGCATATGCATACCAAGAAGCATCTCTAGACTGAATTAGAGATGATATCTAGGTATACTGAGAACTTCTCATACCAAGCACTTTGCATGCATTTAATTTTGTAAAGATTTATTTATTTATTTGAAAGGCAGAGTTACAGAGGAAACACACACACACACACACACACACACAGAGGAGAGATCAGCTCTTCCGTCTGCTGGTTCACTCTCCAAATGGCCATAACGACCTGGCTGGGCCAGGCCAAGGCTTGGAGCTAGGAGCTTCTTCCAGGTCTCCGACATGGATGCAAAGGCCCAAGGACTTAGGTCATTCTCTACTGCTTTCGCAGGCTTATTAGCAGGGAGCTGGATTGGAAGTGGAGCAGCTAAGATTTGAATTGGAGCCCACAGGGGATGCTGGCATTGCAGGCTGTGGCTTTAATGAATGTGCTGAGCCACAGTGCCAGCCCTGTGCGCATTTAATTTTGACCCAAACCTTTCATTATATATTCTATTAGTGTTCCCATTTTCCAGATGAATACTGGGATGGGCTCATAGAAGTGAGGTATCTTGCCCAAGGTCATGTCATTAGGAATGGCTACAGCCAGATTTGAACCTCAATTCTTTATCTTAAATACCTTCACTGTTAGTCCCCTCAGAACATTTTCTATTAACAGTTGGGTTCTGAACATTTTTTAATGCTGAGAAGAGATTTTTATATTCAAAAGACAGGAGTGACAAAGGAATTTTACCTTATGTACTAATACTAAGTCCAGTTGCTTGAATTTGGCCATTTGTGTGGGGAGAGGTAGGGAGGCCCAGGCCCCATGGGAAAGTCTGCTATGGTCAACTCATAGTGGTTGGGACTGGTGATGTAGTACAGTGGGTTAGGCTGCCAAGTACAATGTCAGGATCCTGTATAGGTGGTAGTTTGTGTCCCAGCTGCTCCACTTCTGACCCAGCTCTATGCTAATGTGCCTGGGAAAGCTGCAGAAGATGACTCAAGTATTTGGGCCCCTGTATCCACATGGGAGACACAAATGGAGGTTCAGGCTGCTAGTTTAGGCCTGATCTAGTCCCAGTCATTGCAACCATTTGGGGAGTGAACTAGCGAATGTAAGATCTCTTCTCTCTCTCTCTGTCTCTCCCTCTATCTCCATAATTCTATCTTTCAAATACATAAATAAATCTTTAAAAAAACAATTCATGGGGCCGGCACTGTGGTGCAGTGGGTTAACACCCTGGCCTGACGTGCCGGCATTCCATTAGGGCGCTGGTTCAAGACTTGGGTGCTCTACTTCCAATCCAGCTCTCTGCTGTGGCCTAGGAAAGCAGTAGACGATGGCCCAAGTCCTTGGGCCCCTGCACCTACGTGGGAGACCCGGAAGAAGCTCCTGGCTCCTGGCTTCAGATCGGCCCAGCTCCAGCCGTTGCAGCCAATTAGGGAGTGAACCAGTGTTTGGAAGACCTCTCTCTGTCTCTCTGCCTCTCCTCTCTCTCTGTGTGACTTTGACTTTCAAATCAAATACATAAATCTTTAAAAAACAATTCATAGTGGTTGAGGTAGAGGAGTAGAGTAGTGGTTGATGATGTGAGTGCTGTGTATTTGCAGGTCCTATTAAAATTTTATTCCTAGGAGAGCCCTAGAATTCATGTAGATTAATCTTTCCATTTGTGAAAGAGGAAACTGCAGCCCGCCCTGGGGTGGTTTCATTCTAATGATGTTACACATCCAGCCTCCAGGACAGCTACATTTGACACCCAAGTCTCCGGATCCCCTGTCCTGTGCTCTTGTCTTTTGCAGGATGGGTAAATCCAAAATAGTCCTCTTTTAGAGACAGTTCCTGTAAGAGAAGGTGACTCTTCAGCATTCCTGCCCCTTTAAAGAGGATTGCGAGTAGAAGACTGTCAGTCAGATTCTGTCACCATTACAAAGCTCCTCTCTGCTGGAAGGGCGGTTAATTCTTTCAGACTTCAGGGTATCAGATAGTTAACGCTTCAGGAAGGATTCGCTCCAGAGCTCCCTTGGGAGGTCAGATAGTTCGGGTCAGTGTTTACAGAAGGAATCCCTTCTGCTCCCCTTAACAGGTGGCTTTGAGCAAAACATGGATCAAAGTTGAAAGAAAAACTAGGCAGGGCTTCTCCACTGGATAGTGGACTTTGGAATCATAGGCGACATGGGTGCATGAACTCCATTTGGGTAGCAGGGACCCAAAAATCTTTGGACCATCGTCTGCTCTCTCCTAGGATACATTAGCAAGTAGCTGACATTCGCATTTGGTATTCTGACACGGGGTGCTGTGCTTAACTCTGCACCACAACGCCAGCCTCTATAATGTATTTTTGATATTTAAACAACCAACTTCCGGTTTTTCCATTGAATATTCTGTCAGGCAAATGTGGTTTGTATTGCCGAATGGTCTTTGCCCAATATTGTATGTTGTGAATACACTGACTTTTCATGAAGTCGAGTAGAGTACCCTGCCCTCTCTGGAACTTGTCCTGATCAACTTTAATCCCCTTTACCTGGTAAAATAACTGAAGAGGTCATCTGGATACACACTGGAATTGTCACAGGACAGTTTTTTCTAACGCCCCATGATTTCAATATCTGCTGTTACACACACTCTGGAGGCATCCTCTGTAGAATGACTGCAAGGTTGCTGTTGTTCTGTAGAAGCCTTGGAGACCCAAGCTTTTAAGTCTTATTTCTTTCCTGTGCTTGTCCTTGACCTGGTAAAAAGTGTTTGGCTCAGGGATGTCCCAGGGGAGCCATGGCTTAAATGTTCTTATAATATATTCTGCTGCCACTCTGTCCATGTCCCTGACTGTAGGGGTGAGAGAGTAGAAACATCAAGGACGCTGGGTCAGCCACTGTCTTCCTCCCGTCTGTGCTGATGGATGAGTGGGCAATGAGAGCCACGTACAACAGTTAAGCTACCCAGAGTGTATGGCTGCGAAGAAAGCAGCTTCTCACTTTGAAAGCCCCAGCCAGCCAGTAGGAAGCCAATTTGTTGCAGAGAAGCAACAGGTCTCATAACAGGACGTTTTGTTTCTTGAAACTGTGAAGCTGTTTTTTAAAACGTGGACAGAGTTCTTGGTCATGTGGAACCCAAGTCCCCTGATGTTCGTGCCCTGTGTTGAATCTGGCATGGGTGCATTTGCAGGTATAATAACCTTCTGCTGATAATGAAGTTGTTCTGTGGGCCAACAACATATAAAAAAAATAAAAACAATAAACGAATGAATTCTGAGAAACCCGCTGCATTTGTTCTGTGATTTATACACACACTGATCTGGACAAAGGGGCTTTGTGGCAAAGCCTGTCACATGCAGGGTAGGGCCACCTGCCCTTCCTTAGATGTCAGTCCTTTGGTTCTCAGGTGTACTTTCAAAGTTAGGCCATCAGGGCCTTCTCCATGGAGGGCTGTACATCTTTCTACGCATTTTGAAATCGTTGGGGGAATGCGCCAAGAAGGTTGAATAAAAAAATGGTTTTCAGACTTTTTCCAGGAACCTCAGCCATTGAGAGATTGAGAAGATAGAAAAGTGCTGGATGCTGGCATTGAATGTGGCTTCAGAGGCACGTAGCTCCCACGTACAGTTAGCGTGTTGGAAATACTAGGAGGTTATGTGATTTGCCAAGAGTTCACAGTTAGATGGCAGCAACATCTGGATTAGAGCCTTGGTTTTCTCACTCTTAGTTCAAGGCAGTTTCTGTGACTCCCCCCCGCCCCCTTTTCTCTCTTCCTTCTAATTTATCCCTTAAATTAAGAAAAAGATTGAATCTGGAGGAATATTTCCCAAAATATAGATTACAAGCACTTATGTAAAAAACTACTTTAGATGCCTATAAAATACAGATTTGTGGATTCCTTCTGGAGTTACCAAATAAAATCAAGGCCTGGGTGTCTGCATTTTCATAACCTCCTCAACGATTCTTATGTATACTACATAGGACCATTAATCTGGGCCTATAAATAGTCAGGTGGCATGTGGCAGAAAATGAGCACTGACGTTTAACATCACTGACTTTATCCTGAGAATACAGTCATTCATTATTTCTTGCTGTTCTTAGTGCCAGCCATGTAGTGAGCTGAACGGAGCTAATGATGGTTCCAAGAGTAATTATACCAGCTTTTCTGTTTCTCTATTGCCTGCTCCTGACATAGCTCTAGCTATTAATATTAGCTCCTTTCTCTGCCCCCCAACCTGGCAATATTTATCTGCTGTGTACTGCTTTGCTATACTTGGTGGAAGGTAAATGAATGCTTTGCAGGAATCCTCAAATATCCAGACCTACTCTAAACTTGTTGCTATACAGCACCTGGCCTCAAAACGTCTTGCAATGACGCCACAAATAGTTCCGTGAGAGCCCCAATTACCTTTCCACGCAGGTAATTATTGCTTCTGCCATTTAAGTGAAATTTCAGTACATTGCTTAGAGCAATAAATTTAGAAGCATATTTATGCTGTCCCTGCTTCTATTCATAACATAGATTACAAATTGCATTTCTGTTGGGGTACAGTTCTAAACTGTCCTTTGGTATGAAAATGGCTGATAATAAATAAAACAATAATACCCAAATCTCATCCCCCCTCCCTCCCCAGAACCTAAGAGACTTAATAAAGCAAAACAAATAAACAAAGACACCCCTCCTAATACCCAATTAACGCTGCACACAGGAGAGTTCTGTATCTCATGGCAAATTAGAAACTGAGCAATTCTGTAGAATTACGGAGCTATCAACTGTGTTGTGGCAACGTGATGTCATGGCACTTTGGAAGTTTCATTATGGAGTCTAACAGGTTTTGTGGTGTGTTTTGCAGCACGCTCTGTCTGACAAGGCGTGTGTGAAAGCCTTTGACCCAAAGACGACTTGCTTACAGGAATGCCTTATCACCACCTTCCAGGAAGCCTACTTTGTCTCAGAAAGTTTTGAAGAAGCCAAAGAAAAGATGAGGTAAACTTGCTTTTTCGTCCATCTACAGAAATTGGCCTTTTATTTTTCCGGCTCTGTTCCCTCCTTTATCTATCACTTGTACCAATGGGGGTTGATCAAATATCCTTCTATTTCTGTTTATTCTGCAGGGACTTTGCAAAGTCAATTACCCGTCCCTTCTCAGTGTACTTCAATCCCTACACACAGAGTATTGAAATTCTGAAAGACACCAGAAGTATTGAAAATGTGGTGCAGGATCTCCGCAGCGATTTGAACACAGTGTGTGATGCCTTAAACAAAATGAACCAATATCTGGGGATTTGATGTCTCATACCACTGTTGTTGCCTGCATGATCTTTTTGAAGCTTAGCAGCAAATTCAGTCAATGTCATATTACACCAATAGTGTTCTGTGTCATGGCTTGACTAGTAAGCATGCAATCCTGTATATCTATACCACTTGAAACTTACTGTGTTAATGTGTGAACACCATAAGGAACCCCACCACAGATAACCACTCATTGTATGAAAGTTTGTAAATGTTTCAATGTCTTAAATGGATGTGATATTCTTGCATAGTGCCCTTAACCAAACTGCAACTCTTTCAAACCTGTAACAAATGGCCCTCTTATGATTCTAGCTTATGACCTTTTCTTCCTTGGATCTGAGCCTTTCCTCTGTATTCATTAGATAAAATGGAAATAGCAATGAAGCTGTTTCTATTTTTAATAGTATCAGTGTTTTCACAGCATTATTTGAGATAAACGCAGACTTGTAGGAAACCTTGCTTCACATTTACAGAAGACTCAGCATTCTGCTTCAAAAACCATCGTGGTAACACTAGAGTTGGAATGACTTTTAGGTTCAGTATTTATACAATACAAGAAAACAGAAGTTTTTACTAATGGAATGTATAGGTTGCACTGACCTTGTAAAAACTGAATTTTGGCCAGCTTCTTTAAGCATTTTGGAAGATAATGCGTCCAGAGAGAATGTTAGAAGGACTAAACACTGGAGAATAAATACTGGGACTCTGAATTTTAAGCTGAAATAAAGTCAATTATTATTTCAAGTGTTTAACATTTCTCTGCTCAGAGGACAGTTAAATCATAAGGCTAAAAAGCGCATCTTTGATCTCAAAGGTATGGCAATTGGATCACAAAGAAATTAAGTGATTTTCCCACAGTTGTGTACTTGTGCACCAACATTCTCAGTCCATCATGTTTTCCTTTTGGGTTGCCAAGAAGTTCTACATGATATATATTTATGTGTGTGTGTGTGTGTGTGTGTATGTGTAATTGGATAACAGAAATTAGTGCCTATCAATATAATGTTTATCATTTAATAGGATTTGGTTCTCAGTCAAGGGTTGCCAATGGTACATATGTGTTTCCCCTCTCTGTTCCAAAGCAAGCCAGAACTGAGGAAGGTTGCCTACTTTCTAAAGTTTGGGTAACTTCAGGCAAACACTAGTGACAGATCACACATTTCTGATGGCTTTTGTGGTAACAAAGAAGATTAGGTTATTAAATGAACAAGTAACCTGCTGAATGAGTGAATGAATGTCATCTTTGGACTGCCTCACCGAACACAACTGCTGTTCTCCTGATTCTGCTTTTGAGAGTATAGAGTATTGGACGGAGAAAGGAGAGGACAAGAAAAAGCAGAGAAGAAAAAGATGACAAAATGTCTTTTAAGTTAGCAATCCTAAAATATTTACGTGACCAATTTCCAAGGATGTCCTTTTAATAGAAATTACATGTGGTTTCAAAACAATTCATACTCTCATAGAGGGTCCACTATGTCAGGTATCTTTGGACTCAATGTTTTCAGCAGGAACATGAAAAAGAGTTAAAGTACATTTCACAGAGAAGCCAAATTCCAGTGAAAATTCAGAGATTTGAATTTTGGTTGTCTCAACTATTGAGGATTTTTCATTTCTGAAGCATTCTCCAGACAATGCAGTTTTCGAGAAGGGATTTGGTGGACAGAAAGTGAGAATCATGAAATGTAAACACTAATCTCAGTGAAGGGAATAGTGCCTTGAAAAAACATTGGTGGGGAAAAATGATAAGCACACTGAACCAAATTAACAGTCAACAGAGTGAACAAGAAGTTGTGTGTGTGTGTGTGTGTGTGTGTGTGTGTGTATCTTACCATCAATTCTCATGTTAATGTGATGTTAATACAAAAAGCAGAGATTCAATATAATTCCTAGATGTAATTCTAAGAATATAATAAGAATATAATGATACTTCCATCCTCCTTATCTCCATCTCTCTCCCTCCCTCCCTCCCTTCCTTCCTTCCTTCCTTCCTTCCTTCCTTCCTTCCTTCCTTCCTTCCTTTCTTCCTTTCTCTTTCTTAACTTTTGAGATAACGTATTTTTAATTTATATAATAGTTTAAGGCTTAATACTCCACTAAATAAAGAATTCAAAAAATAAAATGTAGAGTGACTGTAGTTTAGTGGAAATATAGGCAAGAGCAGTTTTATATTTTAATTGTTTTATAGATCCATAAATGCATAGTTTCTTAGATCTTGCTTTGCTAGATGTAAACAATACTGACTACCCATTTACTTATAATTATTAATCTAGAATAATAATCCAGGACAATATATGTTGATTTTTTTCAGAGTAGATGCTGAGTTTTCTCAGAGGAGAAAATTGGCTAAGAAACACTTAATATCTGCCTTTTGTGTTGTTTCTATAATTTGGAAGTCTTAAGAGTTCTGTTATATTTTTTCCTTAAGAAAAGCAAAGCGACCATAAGCAGCCATAAATGTTTTTCCTCTGAAAGAGGATTTTCTTAGTTAAGAGTACTTGAGAGAGAATGATATTTAATTGTAAACAAAGCCCCTTAAAATAGTATTTGGGGTGTCTTCTGCTTGATGTGTAATGAAATCTTTAGTGCAGAATCTGTTTCGTGTCAAAAATAGAAGAGCTGCAAAGTAAATGGGCTTTCCCACAGAGCTTATATAGGTATCATAGAAAGAGGAGGAATTACTTGATTCTTTTTAGATTTGTTCTCCATTTGGAATAGCAGTAACCATGGTTTTCACCCTGTGAAACAATGAAATCATGGTTTTCATTTGTTGTGAGCATTTAACATGCAAATGCCATTACAGCTAATGGTGGGAAAAATCCTATAAAATTTAACAGCCATCATAGGAAAAGTGTTGGCAGAAAAAGTTCTCAGATAGAAATAGTGCAATAGAATAATCACAGCCAGCTCCTTTTCATATCTGATACCTGCTCAGTGTAACCATTTGTCTCAATTACGCCTCTTGACTTGAAGCTAAATTAAATAGATCCAAGGGCAATTATAAATTTAAAGGCATTTGTTCTCTGTCATCTCAGTGAATCGTTACTTTATTTTGGCTTTGCTGCTAAGTTCTGTAATCAACTAATCAGAAAACAACACATTGCCGGCGCCGTGGCTCAATAGGCTAATCCTCCACCTTGCGGCGCCGGCAAACCGGGTTCTAGTCCCGGTTGGGGCGCCGGATTCTGTCCCGGTTGCCCCTCTTCCAGGCCAGCTCTCTGCTATGGCCAGGGAGTGCAGTGGAGGATGGCCCAGGTGCTTGGGCCCTGCACCCCATGGGAGACCAGGAAAAAGCACCTGGCTCCTGGCTCCTGCCAGGATCAGCGCGGTGCGCCGGCTGCAGCGGCGGCCATTGGAGGGTGAACCAGCGGCAAAGGAAGACCTTTCTCTCTCTGTCTCTCTCTCTCACTGTCCACTCTGCCTGTCGAACAGAAACATAAGCAAAAAATAAAGAAATAAGAAACCCCTAGGTCCTAGCAAGACCACACACTTTGTAAAAGATAGCTAAATGTGAGTAGTGTAGTTTTATACTTCAAGCATTTTTATCTGTTATAGGTTAGGGTCAAGTCTCCACTGTTTCTTGAATGAACAGTTTATTTGACACCATAAGAGCATGATAGGCTGTTTATAAATTGAGGGTGGGGAACTTTGACACAAGGATTTTTGTTAGTTTGTTTTTCACATTGTAAGGGTTGTGAGACTTGGGTTTCTGGTTTAGTATCATTTATTTACTGTAGTTTAGGAATGATGCTTTTTGGTATGATATATCTGCTTGTCTTGCTTGTACATAGTAAATGGGCCCGAGCCTAATGAATGTAAAGTATTGCAACATTTACCAACACAAAAAGTCTAAAATGAAAAACAGAGTGCTTTACCGTAGAAGCAAATAGAAATACAGAGTTTCATTTTCAAATGGAGTCATGGCTCACATCATCTCATTTTCTTCATTCCAGGAGGAAAACATTAACCCAAGATGTAGTTGTCCTCCAATTCATTTGATCTAATTTTCAGCTTCTAAAGAATCCAGTGCAGATGCTTATTCTTGTGAACCTGTCTTACTTACAATGAAAAAGAAAGTAGCCCAGAGTTCTCCAGTATGTCTGCATTTTTTCTTCAGTTTCTAAAGACATTCTCTTATTTTGGAAAATGAGTCTTACACAGATTGCCATATTCTGGGAAGAGTCAAGGGAATTAACAGTGGGATACTGCTTCTTCTAATATTAGATTTGCATATGTTCAAAACAAATCAGTTTGGGAACATGAAATGGTGATTCTTTATAATGTGGCTTGGGGCCTCAAACCATTTATGCAGTCTCTTAGAACATAGCAGGCATTGCTCTAGATACCAAGACGTGGTGGTGAATAAGACAGGAGACACTTATGCCTACTTTGCTCTCATAATGCACTCGGGAGATGGAGGCAAAAAACAAACCCCCATATGGTTTGAAATTGTAGCAAATTTGATGGAGAAAATTATCAGGGTGATTGATGAAGACTATTAGGAGAGAGTGAGTCAGGTGACCTGGAAGGGCCTTTCTGAGCAGATGGTATTTGACCGACTTAGGATGAGAAGTACCCAGGAAAGAGAGCCTTGGAAAGAATGTTATTGAAAGAGGGAATAGCAAGACCAAAGGATGTCAGGCAACAGTGAGGTTGATGTGTTTATGGAAGACAGATTGCCAGTGGGCTGGAATGGAATGATGCAGGGACAGTGTAGGAGGCAAGAATGAGATAATATAGGGTCCCAAAAGAGATCAGGTGCACTCTACATGTAGTCCTCGTTGGAAGACTGGAAAGAAGACAGTATCCAGATCTGATTTAAATTTTTCGAGAGCTTAGGCAGCTGTGTGGAAATGGAATGCAGTGGGGCCAGGGGTTGGGGAGAGGGGAAGAAGAGTAGAAGCAGTGAAACCAATCAGGACATTGCAATATTAGAGCACTACAAGTTGGTATCTTGCCAGATCATGGTGGAACTCATTCAACACCATCACAACTAAATAAGTTACAAAGTTCAGTGTGTGCATGAGAGCCATCAGGTAAGAAACTGGGAGAAACTGGAACAAGCGGTACCTGGATTGTTTCTCGTTTGACTGGAAGAGGTTTTCAGATGATATCCTGTCTTTCACACATATTTAAAACTTCCTTTGACACAACATCACATGAAAATTTCTCTGGCTGGAGCAGAAAAAGCTAGACTGGAAAGCAAATCCCACTGCTTTTTCATGTGACTCATAGATATTGATGGCAGAAGTAAAAATGAAGTAGAAAATGGGGCATTATTGGTGAATGTTGATGGTGCTGACAGATAATTCAGGACAAAGAAACCCCCTTACCTAAAGGCAAACTAGATCATGTGTTTGCTGTCCACTCTGGCCATATCTTCAGGAATAGGCCATCAAATGTAAGTGAATTGGTTAAGTCTGCTTCCCTTCTGTTTACTGCCTCTCCTATCCCCAAATGCATATTTCAGATATCCCGGAAAAGGTTCACTTGCTGTGATTTCTTCTCACTCCAAGAAGAATGGGTCTGGTGCAGCAGCTGGAAGTATATTTCCTTCTTTGGGAAGATTGCAGTGAGCCTGATGTTCAACCCAAGGGCATCTGTGGTTATGGTGCCTGCAAACAGCATTCTCATAATCCAGTCTGGATACAGTTTTTATAATTGAACAACAAAAACATCTGACAGATGTGGGCAGGGTAATTTGAAAGCTAGATGGCACAAAGAAATCAAGTTCAGTTTCTGTCAAA